CATATTCAAGTCCACAAAGGGACTGATATGGCGCGATTTCGTTGGTAATCGCAATGCATTCCTCCTTTCGGTTCATTTTTCGATTTTTGGCGCTTATCCAAACGTTTTCAAGTCAAAATAATAGTTAAACACTAGAAGATTAAAATATTCGAGATAGATTTGAAATCTAAGACCCGTAATTATCAAAGAAATCTATTCTTGTTAAGGGGCAGTTCTGCCTGCATTCCTCGTTTTGAAATTATTTGTCATAGCTAAGTGTGTATTGCAACATCTTGATTTTGCTAAAATGTACACATTATAGAGAATAAAATTATTTGAAGGTGTTATGCACAGCCATTTGGGAGCAGCAACCGGATCGCAAAAGTTTCGTCCTTATTGAAGACAATCTTGATAATATGTATCAGTAGGTATTTTTCTTCCAATTATTTACAGTGCCAACAATTTTCTATTAGTAAGATAAGAATATGAATATAAATTTTCTTCACCTACAGTCTCTGTTAATGTTTGGTTTTCATCTACAGTATGTTAAGATAACGGGAAAGAGATTAGAATGATATATAATATATCGCTTCTTTTCCATATAACTGCCTAGACATTGCTAGCTTTCTTTGCATTCGTGGTAATTGAACAAAAAATCTTTCCAGAAATTTCAAAAGGAATGCCGAGATAATACCCCGGCAAATATCACACTTCATTGATAAAAGAGGTACTGTTATGTACGTCGTATTGTGGAGTGATATGCATTCAAATCGCTATCCCGATGTGGATCCTCTCTGGGAGGAGAGGTAAAATGCAGTTGAATTTAATTGCACTAACTTTTCCGATACGTTTTAGGATCATTTCTAGCTGCCAAACTTCCTCTTCAACCTGATATTCAAAACATTAGAAAATTAATTTTTAAGAAAAATTGTTTATTTTATATGAATAATCCCAATTATTGTAAAATATTCTCATGCAATAATTGGCTTCAGGACGATACCAGTGCGATTTCTTCAAGGAACTCCCGAACTCCTCAAAGAGTCACAAATGGAATTTTTAATAGAACGAGTGGAACACTTTATGCGTGAACTCGATATTCCTGGGTTGTCGATTGCTATTGCGAAGAGAGAACAGCTAAAGTTTGCTGCAGGTACAACATAACTGCTTCTTTCCAATGTGTTTTTATTTCTACGATAAATTTGAAAAAAAATCAAATTGAACTTAAATGCATATTTTAGACGAAACAAAAATATGCTAAAGCTTATCTTTCCTAATCATTTTCATATAATCCAGTTTCGTAGGTGTAAACATCAATGAGTTCGGAGGCATTGACATCGATTCACTATTTTACTTGTTTCTTCTTTTATATCGCACCTCGTTGAAGCAAAGCTGATGATAATTTTGTATTTCAACTACGTCTACATATGTTTAGGTTTTGGCTACGCTGACGTACGAAAACAAGAGATTGTAACACCAAATCACCA